ATCTGAGCCCCAGCATGAAGCATTAGAGGGAATACATGACTCCGTAGCTCGCATCTAGTATCGCTGTACGCACTACGAATGAGCACCTCTGCAATGATTTACCATAACGTTTTCAAAGGACATTCGGCAGTGTCCTGTGCCTTTAATGACCGAGTCCTCGGCGTTACTGCGAGGTCATTTCGTTTGATACAAGCCTTGCATAATCAATCTTGGGTCATCTTATGATGTAAGGCTCGGAGCTTCGAATGAAGTGTATACTTTAATCTTAATCTTAATTCCGAATTGCCAAAGTTTTATCTCTTTACGAATTAACGATAATAAATTTAAGTGGCGTTTAAAGGCTGAGGCTTCCCTTTGACATAGGCTATGGAATAAGATTTTTTGGCTTCGTTATATGCAGTATGAGATCTCTCGTGCCTATATTCCAATTCAAATACTTAGTTGCCAATAATTGTCCAGCGATCTCAAAAAATATTTTATAGGTTATATATATAGACGATGTACATGAATAAATTATACTTAGTTTCAACAAAAATCGTGTCAAATTAAATAACTCTGTGATGAGATATTTCATTTGTTGTAATATGCTTTTTGCGCAAAAATTTTTTGAATGATTTTCCAGGTTTCGAATCGAGAGCGCTTCATGAACGCTCCTACAATATTCTTCGTCTGCCGAATTGACGCGATTGAAAAATTTACGACCTCTGTACCGAAACCCAAATCTTCGAGAGGCAAGATTGATCCTGAATTCTTTAAAGTGCTTCTGCATTCTCTATCTCAGAAGGGAGGAAATTTTCGAGTGTGGATGGACACGCATGGTTCTCGACGACGGATGAAACTTGAAAATGTATTTTATTTCATGGACACAGTCTAGGCTCGCCTTTCAAGATTCATATCAGTGACAAAGTCTCAAAAAAAGCAGTCGAAGCATTTTATTTAAAGTTTTCAAATAGTGCCAAAGCGGTTTTTTGGTATTTTCAATGTGCTTAGAGCTTTCTTGTTTGTTTTACAATATTTTTATTTGTAGTTAATCCAATGCACTAGTTTGGTCATTCTGAATGACTGAATTTGACCACAATTTTCAGCGTCGACCTGAAATTCATGTTTCAAATTATATATTTTTCAAGAAATTCTTCATCGATGATCGAAAATAATTTAACATCTGATATTTTGGTTCTATAAACAATAATTTTGATGGTAACTAATAAAATAAACGAAACTAATAATAAAACGAAAATTTGATGGTAACTGATAAACTAATAATAAAACGAAAATTTGATGGTAACTAATAAAATTTCATTATCAAAATAATTGATAGTTAGCGCGCTGCATAACTTCGTTCAAAACATCATCGGTACCAAATGACCATCTGTGCAAAAATCAAAACGATTTTTCGTTTCAGTCTTTGTTTCTCCGGGTATTTTTTACAACTATTTTGCTCTTTGTTGCAATTGTGTCTTTAATTATTTGCATTTCTTCATTATGTTTCATTTCTCCTTGTTCAAAATAAATTTGTCTTGTCTTCTTGGCTCCAGTGATTTACTTCAAACTCATACGAGCAGTCAGTGTTTGTCTCATTTTTCTAGTTAAATATAAAGCTCCGTTTTTTTTTTTCATTTTCGCTTTACTTTTAGATTCGATCACAGAGCCTAGGACAAGATTTCTCAGCAGACGCGTCCCACAAAGCACTGTGTCTCACAGCGAGGCTTAACGCGACGAAGAAAAGCTAGTAGATGGCGGATCTTTTTCTTGTTTTTCTTATTCCCGTGTTTGTTGTGTCCTCTTCCGCATGCCTTCAGATAGCGTCCGAAGCATCCATTTAAATGCATCTATTGTGTCAAGAGAAGCCGGGCGCCATACTTTCCTTGAACTCGTTCCCCAGACAAGTCTCGCTCAACTCGGCTTGCACAAGCGTCAAGTAAATACACCCGAAGCCATGGTTTTAACTGAGTAAATGCCAGGCGCACCTGTATGACCATCGTAAGTTTCTCTAGGCCTATTATTTTGTTGATTTTATTCGGCATCTACGTGTTTCCGATAATCTCACATTAAAACATATCCTACCATGAGCTTCTCAAGGAATTTACATGTAAATTTGTGCCCCGGCGAGGCTGGTGCGAGGGAGAGCTTATCTTGAGGTAGTCCTAGCGCGCGACAAAATGCTCTTCAGGAAAGCGAATCCCATGATCGGCACCACAGAATCCCTCCGCCACTGATCCTACTTTGCCAATGCTCTTTTGTTTTGCATTTTAGGCCAATTTGCTTCGGAGGGGAAAGAAAATACGTGTTGGAATGCCATTGTTTGCCTGAAGTTTATTACAAGTCGATGATCGGGAACTTGTGCGCCGATATCGCGGGGATGCGTTTACGTGAAGCGTTTTTAGGAGAACGATAAGGTGATGATGCGTACCTGCAATCTCTGTGAGCTCAGAATATTGTATACTTAAGTTTAAGCATTCAAAATCTTCTTCCTTAACATACGTTAAACAAAAATTTTGAGCCCTGGCATCCTAAGTTTAGCTATGAAAGACGGTTAAAGCGCATATGGTTTTTTAAATATAATGTGCATCAAGATTTTATAATGAGTAGCTTTCACGCAGAGAGTATTGCCGTAACAACATAGTATCGCAAAGCGTTTGAACTTAACAGTTTTGTTTTAATTATGGTTCACCGTTTCATGTCACGTCAGCAAACCTGGGCAAAAGGTTTGCAATGCTACCACTCGCACTGGCGAGTCACAGCCTATGATTAGGGCAAAAGCAAATTTATTTTTTCCTTAATAGTTACTATTTACTTAAAACTATTTATTTAGATTCGGAATATTTTTAATTTTACTAATTCCATTGATTACAAAACTGACTAGTGCGGCAGTAGTAAAGAGAGTGGCACAACAGTGTGCAGAGAACAGTTTATGTGTATTGTCTAATTGATGCGTATTTGGCTTGTGGGTGAGATTGTGTGTTTCTTGCGAGTTGCGTGGATATGTTTGTGTTGTCATGTTTGTGGAATATTGCATCTGGGGTTTATTATGTATGGTTGAGTCTTAATTAATTTTAATGTTAATCCTAAAAATGTATTAGTACTCAGTCGAATACTCAGTGGAGTACTCAGTCAAGTACTCAGTCAAGTACTCAGTCAAGTCAGTCGAGTACTCAGTCAAGTATTCAGTCAAGTAATCAGTCAAGCACTCAGTCAATTAATCAGTCAAGCACTCAGTCAAGTCAGTCGAGTATTCAGTCAAGTACGCAATCAAGTGCTTAATAAACAATCACATCGACGCCTGAACGTTCCTCGAATTAAATACAATATTATTTCCCATGAAGTGATTTACGCGAGATAAATTGTTTCTTTTGGCCGTTTGATCGACTGTAGCGCCAGTTAGTCTCTGAAGGGCGCCTTAATGCGAACAAGTTGCCACTGTAACTTTTGCTCAGCATTCATTTGCATAGTGAATTCCTCCCCTCCGTTGGTCTAATTTACCAATAATTGCGCGAATAAATACTTTCGCTGTCTCGCTGCAGTCTCTTCTGCTCGTAAACAAATGAGCAGCAAGACCGATTTTTCAACTTAAATAGACGCGCACGTTTGGCAATAGTTGATCGACTGAGCATGCAGCTAGACATGGAATAGATGGCCAGAAAGTGACATTAAAATAGCAGCGGTCGAGTGCGTGTAGAGGCGATGATCACAATGATGAATAAAGATTTAAATACCATTGCTGTACTGGCGTGTACTGAGTGTAATGATTGTTATACATGTTAGCGGGGTCGCGATTAAGATTACATGAGGAGGCTTGATGAGTATAAATTGAGAATATTCGATGTTTATGGATGAAAAATCAAGTGCCCCTTATTATACAAGCTGAAAATAAGATATTGTTAAATTCATTTTAATGTTGAATTTTGTTCCCATAATTTTATATTGAAATCGGAGAAACTACATTCGTATTATTATATTTTTTGTTTGATATCATTGCTGATACTTCAACCTTTTCATCTGAATCACACAATACTCTACTTCCAATACTACTTTCAACAATATCTTTTACGAGTACCAATTTTATCTCTAATTTGTTTTGCTAAAAACAATGTTTTCATTTCATATTTTTCGTGAACTTTACTTCTTTGAATCAACATTTATTTCGAATATGAAGCTCGCTCTATACACGCCTACACTCCTCTGTTTCTCTTTCTCTCGTCACTGAAACAAGTTTCCTCGCAAAAAGTGATAAAAATCTGGGAATTTAAAACTGCTATACTTATTTTTTTGTGTACGCGAGCCGGGATATTAGAGGCATTAGAACACAACCTATTGAATGTCTGATATTTCTCAAGGACCACGTACGACGCGTCTTCTTTAGTCATCCAAGGAAATCGCTTCACTTGACAATTCAAAACAATTAAAAGAATAAATAGTACTTTGTTGCGTCAATTCAGCAACGAGAATCCTCATTTTTCTAAGTCTTATTTGCAGAAAATACTGGAATTTTTTATTTCCCCTCAAATTAAATATTTTAAATCATTTTTTTAAGCTTGCGTTCAAATTGGGATTTATTGTTATTCTAATTACATAATCTGAGAATGCGGATTAAATTTAAATTAAAAATATATGTTAAAATTTTATAAAATTATAGAGCTTGCATTCTGTCTGAGAAACTTCTTTATGAGGTATCAAAAATTTAATTTTGAGTCTTGCTAATATTGTAAAATCGCCAATTTTCCCACCAGTTGGTCAAAAAATCTTTCATTTTTACACATTCCTTTTTTTCGTGTTGTTTAAAAATTGTGATATTTTTATTAATAGTTTCTTCGCTGTCTTTTCTGTCCTTCACAATTCTTGACTAATAATAAATAACTTTTGTTGCAGTGACTGCCTTCACTGTTTTTTCTGTCCTTCGCAATTCTTGACTAATAATAAATTGTCTTTGTTGCAGTGACTGCCTTCACTGTTTTTTCTGTCCTTCACAATTCTTAACTAATAATAAATTGTCTTTGTTGCAGTGACTGCCGGGTCGTGCGGGATCCCCACACACTCAAATCCAAAGGCTATGGCTTCGTGTCGTTCATTAAGAAGGCGGTGAGTACCGAAACGAGCGACTTACGAGTCACTAATGAGTCTCTGACGAGTAATGAGATCTGCGCGCCTGATTAGAAGTATACAACTTGCAAAAAACTCCATGGACTTGAACACAACTTCGTGGTATGTCTCTCAGATCACGGTGTTAATTTCGAGAACATTTCTGGATCTCCCAGCGTGAATGATAACAAAAATATGGACATAAAATATTTATGGTCATTTTTAAAGCTCATGTAAAGCATATTTCAGAATAATTTCACCCGTAAAAGGGTTAAGAAATAAAATAATTATCAAAACAAATCATCATTTCTCTTTAATTGCCACTGATGAATTTTAGAATAGTGGAGAAATAGCATTATTAAAACATCTAGTGACAGCGCTTTAAATTTTCGCCAATCAATTTTGAAATAGGGAATTATAACAGATATACTTTAATATTAATGAACATTATTTTACCATCTTGAAGAACATTCTACTTTATTTTTTACGAGGTGAAATTATCCCCTTTTAATCAAATTAATAACTTGTCAATCTTCTATAGCGTGACTCATGAATCCAACTCTTTATAAATTCTTAACCTGAATTGTACAAAATTCTTCGGCATGATAAAAGTTTCGAAAATATATGATTCGATCTTGATTTAGTTCGGAAAAATTTTTTGCTAATATATATAAAAAAAACATATTTATTAATTTATAAACTTGAAGAACTGGAGTTGAATTTATTTCGCTGGTTTGGTCGTATTTAGTGCAATCTTTGAACAGCTTGAAGTTACAAAGCGTATTTGTGAGGCGTCGCATCTGTCGCCAATAAATCAGAGGACCTGCAAGCAGCTGGCCTCCTCGCGGCGCCATAACTTTAGCCACTATTTAACAAGACACGTAATAGAACATTAATAAATTCCCTCGCCAAAGTTAGTGCAGAAAAAATAAAGTTGAACCCTCGAAGAAGTTTGCGGTGCGTGTGTTCGTCGGTACGAGAGGCGCGCCAGCTTCTGCACTCTCTGCTAACTCCACGGATTCACTCGCCCTCTCTCGCCCCGCGGCGTAAAAACTTCAACTCACTGCAATATGAAACAAAAATTCCGTAAAAATAAAGGGTAGCGCTGCAAAAATACTGGCTCAGCTCGGGAGCATTGCCGCGTGCCATGATTAAAAAGTAGGCGCAGTGCATCCATGCGCAGCTCTTCAAAAATTACTGCAATCTTCTGCTCACAAGCGCACGTCATTTTCTCACCATCGCCGTTCATCGTCAGGAAATTAACAATCTTTAGACGCAGCTCATTGATCAGTGAAATCCAAAAAATCTAAAAACAGCAGCTTTACATCTGTAGTACTATGAAAATAACAGCTCTGCATCAGTTATACCAGGAATGAAGCAGCTGTGAGTCAGTTTACTATAGGTAAATAGCATGCTGACTTGCATCACTGCTAGGAAAATGGCAGCTCTACATCATTTTTATAATAAAAAAATCAGCTCTGCATCAGTTGCGTTCATTCTTTATAAGTTTTCGTTCTTTATCTCCGGTGCTTTATTTATGAATATGTTCTGATTCTTCACTATTCCTCATGATTAATATAGGTATGTACTTTACCGCACAGAATAAATTTGTCCCATTAATCGTAAATTTCATGAGTAATTTTATTATATATTACCTGTAAACACATACAAATCTCATAAGCGTATCGTTTGGAATTCGGATACAAACCAAATTATTTTGTTAATAATATTGTAGATATTGCAAATTACCTACGTATTATGCATGTTTGGTCGTTCCGAATAATATATTTTAATTTCATGTTAATTGCTCGCTTTGCATTGCGATGGCTACAATTACAAAGCAAAGTTTATATTCACTGCCCGTAATTGATTCCACTCTGTCTCTCGCTGTCTCTCTGAGAGCGGAAAACTCGCTGGCTTTAGAGTGTTATGAATTTGTGAGTGAACTTATCATGCATTTTTTTATTTTAGATTGATTCATTTACCGGAGCAACAAATTAGACTCGCTTGCAATCCTTTGACTTCAATTGAGTCTCATATGAAAGTTGCAATCAACACAGAAGCTTGAGGCGAGTCGTTGTGCATATGGAAACGCTTCAACTTTTAATATGATTTCCGTCATACGTTTGCTGCTGATGGAAAGCTGCTACAAATCAGACATATCTGTCACTGCACGATTAATACTTTGTGGGCTTTGATATAAATGATGGCACTGACTACGATACCGCTTCACCCCAACCCCTCGCAACCAAAGAGCGTTAGGGTCGCTTTACGTGTGTGTCGGTACTGAAGTTATTCGAAATGCACGCTGCTTTTAATGTGTCCAGAATTTTACCACGGATTTAGAAATTTTTTTGAATATCGAAGATTAGAATTTCATTTCAAGTATTTTTCTAACATTGTTGAGCGAAATTTTGTTCTGAGATTGTATATTTTAGTTTTTGAACCAGGAATTCTTTTGTTATTAGCTTATGTACCAAAAAAATTAAAAATGTCCATAAGCACATATGCGTTAGCGCAACTTTCATTCTTTCCTTCATATTATTGACCTTATTCCAATTTTATAAAAATTTTATATGTGGGATTGACTCTTTCTTTACCGATGAATTTTGTAAACATTTGATTTTAGTTCGACTCTGGAATTGGTGTCTCGGGCAATGCCGACTTACTGTGATGTTAGAAGTGTCTGGCAGCATTACTACGATGTAGTCGCTTACTCGGCCTTGTGTCGAGGAGTTTCGATAATGTGGAGGTCCGTATGTTCTGCTTAGAGCCTACCCGAAGAAATTGGTCGTCTCACTCTACACTGATAACGACAAATTATTCCCTCGAATAGCTAGTGGCGTCTTTTTTCAAGATTTGTGCTCATCTACATCTCCCTATCATTTTACACTGCGCCATCGAATCCGTTTTCTCAAGATAGAAATACGGCACTCTGCTGCCAATCGGATGTAGTGCATTAGAGTTCTAGAATACTCTGGAAAATTCTCTGTTCTTCTAAAGCTTTTCTGTTCAGTGCACTTCGGCTGATGTCTGATATAAAAAAAAACTGTGGTTTACGCGTGCGTTTAAGACTTTTCCCCACGATGCTTTTACGTTAGCTTTATTTTATGTGATTCTCTAAACATTTGAATAAGTTAAATTGTAGCACCGCACCGTCGTTACAAGTTTCCTAGGAAAAACAATAACACGAATATCTTATTTGCATGTTGTAATAAATAATATCAATTTTATTGCGGCTAACTACCGCGCTAATCAGGATAAAAATGTTCTATATTTGGAGTTCGTACTTTTTACTCTCAGTTTTCAGCTCATGCATACAAGCGTGGGAGTCAAAATTAATCTTAGATGCAGTTTGGTGTTTTTCGTAAATTAATTTATCCATCTCTTAAGTAGTATTTATCCATCTCTTCATTAATTTATTCATTTGTTTACAAGTATCCGTCAATTTAAAGAATATTGCGAATACATTAATACGCTCACATTCACATATTTCAGTCATTAGGAGAGAAGATTAAGAAAAACTTGGTTCAGCTTATGAAAAAATATTTTTGATGGGGATATGAATGTGGTGCGAAAATTTTTTGCTGAAAAATCATTTACTTCGTTATCATTTTTATTCATATAACACCAAAATGAAGACTTCATTTGAAAAACCGTCTGACATTCAAGGATTTTCTTATTTGTATAGATTAAATAATACATCCGTTTGAAACATTCTAGGCTTTAGTGCTTTAAGAAAATTTCTTCAGTTCCGCGGCGTTCGATACAACAGAAACCAATCTGGCCGTTGGTTGAATAGAACACAAGACAGATAGAGCTTCGAGTACTCTTTCTTGATCGGCCGGCTAGTTGAATAGAACACAAGACAGTTAGAGCATCGAGTACTCTTTCTTGACCGGGAGGCTAGTTGAATGGAACACAAGACAGTTAGAGCATCGAGTACTCTTTCTTGATCGGGAGGCTAGTTGAATGGAACACAAGACAGTTAGAGCATCGAGTACTCTTTCTTGACCGGGAGGCTAGTTGAATGGAACACAAGACAGTTAGAGCATCGAGTACTCTTTCTTGATCGGGAGGCTAGTTGAATGGAACACAAGACAGTTAGAGCATCGAGTACTCTTTCTTGATCGGGCAGCTCGGAGCGCGTAATGCCCCTGCCGTCTATAATGGCGAGACTTGACCAGGTTTCCAGGGCCTCGGAAACAAGCAACAGCCAAGTAACACTCCTTCCTTATTGAATTTTGCCGGCCTGTGACCACATTAGTCGGACCATTATTTTTGTTTATTCTCTCGTAGCAGTCCTCGTTGCGTGCTAAAAGATCTGCTCTGGCTCAGGCATACTGCCAGTCTTCGGCTGATCTTCTGCACCGAAATCTTTATTAGTTTTCCGGCTACATAACATCGTTATAAAGCCAAATTTACACCGCATTATTCAGCTGTATATTAGCATTTGTATTCTCTGATTGCTCAAATTGATGATCAACACAGAATTTAAAAAGCTAAATAGAGCTAATACTAATTGGTGTCGGTATCAGTCTACTGTGTAAATTTAGTTGTCAATTATTATTACTCTTTCATTACTGAATTTTCAACTTATGATGAAGCTGGTCTACAAAAACATTTTATAGGAAATATAATAAATACTCATAGCATTTTATTTGCTTATAAATTCGTAGCTTTAAATTCGTTTTCCATCAATTCAAGCAGTAATGCTGACTTATTCGGCGTGCTGTTTCAGAGCTATTAAATTCATTTCAATTTTTTGTATTACAATGCGTGAGTTGTCAAACAGACGTGGAGAGGCCGATGAGAAGTGTATAAATAGTTTAATTCAATGGTGAGACTGAAAAACCAAAACTAGTAATAATGATTATGCTAATCAAAATGCTTACAAATTATGATTTCAATAACATTTTCGCTAATGAATAATTTAATTAACAACATCGAACCTTCCGGAGACAATTCATACGTCGCAAGCACGCGCCTTACAAAAATGA